ATATATATATATATATATATATATATTAAAAGGAATTGTTGGAGGCTATTATACGAGCTCTGGCCATCTCTCATGTGCCTAAGAATTCGAGTATCACACCCTACATTTGGGAGAAATTGAACCGCATATCAGAGGGCACTTACAACTGACAAGTATATATTCATTGATTTATGAGTATATTCTATAAATGCTATTTAATTTTTGACTTGATTTCCAAGACATCCCCATAAAGAAAGCTCTTTAGGCAATGAGCAACTTTGAAACTTGAACTTCCTGACTAAATTATCGTTTTCTTAATAAAAAGCATCCCACAAAAAATCTCATTTGCCATCAAATTCTGGATAATTATTTAGTTTTCAGATCAGTTAGAATTTGCAAAACCTAAATATATAAATAATAAGAAAATCAATTGAGAACGGACTAATAATATACCACATTTTGAATCCTAAATCAAACTGAACCTAACTAACCGAAATTTGTTTTTTTGTTTTAATATGATATTTATTGTCCAATTAATATCTATGATTATGTAAATGCTCTCATCATCTGATATAGTTAAAGCCTTAAAGGTATGATTGGTTGATGGGCCATTTCTTCTATTTTTATCGTATTTTCTTCTGTTCATCCCTCTCTATCTCGTTGTTGTTAAGAACTACCAATATGCGAGTTGGAAAGCTAAATGTAATCGACAGATCAAACAGAAGTTAAGCGGCCAGCACTGTTGTTGGAGGCGGTAGATGCAATGTAGTTGTCATATACCGGTAGGGGAAAGAAGTCTGCTTTCATATTTCTTACTTCACGTAAGAGTAATGACTAAAATATCATTATTATTATTATTATTATTATTATTATTATTATTATTATTATTATTATTATTATTATTATTATTATTATTATTATTATTATTATTATTATTATTATTATTATTATTATTATTATTATTATTATTATTATTATTATTATTATTATTATGTCCTTCTAAACTTTTAATTGAGATCAAACGCCATAACTTTAATTTTTACATACATACTACTTTATCTATGAGTTGGCTCCTTTTAATGTGTTATGAAAGATACAAAGTGAAATGAATGTAAAAAAAGAAAGTAAAGTTTAGCGTCAGATATATAAATACATAACAAATGGGTGGCATATATGTCAAATTGTTAAAGCTTTCTCTTAGCAGATGCCATGACGTTCGCGTGACGCCGTGACGCCGGCCTTTACCCTTTTTTTTCTCAATTCTTATTTCAATTTATTTTGAATTTAGCATTAAAATTTACGAGGCATTCTTTTTTTTTTAATAAATTTATACTCCTCTCAACTTAAATTAGTTTCCATATATTTGGTTAAAGAAAAATTATTTTTGCGAGATCTAGATATATCAGTTGATGTCATATATTTATAAATCAAATATGAGAACGATCGGCAAAGCGAAAAATAGAACGGGAAAAATTCACACCAGAAAACAATAACACCACAACAGAACACACAGATTTACCCGGTTCAACAAATTGCCCACGTCCACGAAGTTGCAGAAGATTTTACTACTTGAGAAATTTATACCAGTCGATCGCCTCGACTTACAAGAGGAATCTCTCACTCTCAATTCGTTACTCTCTCTTTTTCTCTCTCTTTTCTTCTCTCTCTACAACGAGATACACCGAAAAAACTATACACCGAGATACACCGAAGAAGATAAACTTATAAGAGAAATAAATATGATTTCTCTTATGCCACAAACCACCAAGAAGAAGCCAAGGGAGAACAATTTTCTTCCTTCACCACAAGGAACTACCTGTTGCACTTTCTTTTCTTCTATATTGAGCGAGCCTTCCTCTATTCCGAGGAAAACTGAAGAAGAACACCGTGACTTCTAAAACTGAAGGAGAGTTGTGCGATACTTTTGTCATGAATAAGAGGGAGTCAAGAAATGCTTCGCGGAGTCAAGAAATGCCTCGCTTCACAACAGAGGAAGACAAGAGCCGTTTGCATAACCGCAGTGTTGCGGGTGATGTCACGACGATTCCCGACAGCAGAGCGGGAGTTCATGATTAGGAGCGAAGCGGGAGCTGGAAGCGCCGATTCGTGACGCGGTCTCCAGCGCTAACAAAAATAAATAAATTTGTGTAAAATGCTTAAACTGACAGAGATAACATTCAAATCTTAGATACGGTGATTTATCATTTTAATATATTATTATAACTTATAAGCAGGATCGATTACTCTAACTAAAATAAAATAAATAATTTTTAAAATATTGGATTCTAATGCTCACTATAATATATATATATATATATATTACAAATGTGATTGTACCATTAATCGTATTGCGAGCCAAAATAAGCTGAACACGAACGAACAAATCTTCTTTTATGTTCAGCTCGTTAATTTTACTAACGAATTAAATATGAGTTTCTTAACAAGCCGAGCATGAGCTGTTCGTGAACATCAAAACGTTTTGACAAGCTTACCCGAAATATTATTATTTACAAATCTAGCACTCTTTTTCATCCATTTTTCAAATTCTCCCTCAAAATATTGAAATTCATGATAAAAACCTCTAATCATATTTTTTCATTTTTATCAAATTCTAATAATTTGCTTGTTGGCCCTCCTAAATACATCGATTTAATTTAAAAATATCACCTGAGTGCTGCATTTCTGGTGCTATACATGTAATTATCCCTAAAAAGAAATATAACGCCCACCCACCACAAATCCTCAAATCGCTAATGAGCTCAAAAGGCTTACCGCACCTATAATCCCTATTTATCCACCCTAAACGTCCTCTTAATCCTTAATGTCGTTTTAATTACCTCCGTTTGGCGTCCGGTGTTCTTATCGTAATTACCCCTCGCCGCCTTCCCGCCTCCTTCCCCCTCCGCTTCTCGCTTCGATGCTGGTCACCGCCCAGCTGACTCCATCCTCCTCCTCTTCTTCCTTGAGCGTCGTAATTGAGCGGCGCCTGCAACTTCGCTTCATTGTTGCAGAGAGTTTAGAGTAGGAGCGCGCTAGGGGAAGGAAGACGAGGGTTCCGCTTTAGTAATGGTAATGGTAAGTTTATATCTCTAATTAGTTTTATAAAATACTAATCATGATTAATTGAAACTTCTAATTATGATTTATTTATCATAGTTTGCGTTCATAAAAGATTTATTTATTAATATATTTAAAAATATATCATTGCATTGATCACATTTAAATTAATATAGACAAATCAAATATAAGAATTTATTATAATTATATGGATTCTTCAATGCGAACCTAGAAATCAAAAAAAAAAAAAGGATTTTTACGTAATTTATTAAATCTTTTGAGTTTAATGAGTCTCAAACAAGACAAATAATAAAAAAAAATCGAAAAGGCCTTCACAAATTTTCAGCTTCTCAACGCAGGAATAGATATTTATATATTTATATTAATTATATGATGTAGAAATTGTCCATCTTCTTCCCACTTCCTATCTGCAATTTCAGCCAGTGCGAAGATGGAGCTCAATGAACCCTAATCCCTTCGATTTGGAGGCCCTCAGTAGTATGGGCTTAGCATTTATGAGGATTCATGGCTTCTTTTCAGGTGGCTTCCGTTCTATTTTTGCGCTTCGTTCCGATTTCCGGCTGTTATTTATTAAAAATAGAAAAAATCGTGATTCTTTTCTCTCGATTCTTGCATTTCTTTCACCATATAGGTCAGCTATAAGCCTGGATCGCTCTGATTTGTCTTCTTTTCAACTCTTCTAAGTTTTATTCGCTCATGGATAACTTAGAGGAAGAAATCGAAGAAACGAGTTGATAGCGAGGAGAGAAGCTAGTGAAGGTTTGTGCGAGTGGCAATTTTACTTGTGGAAAAACATAAATGCAGCAATACGGGCAGGGGGCTGAGGAGCAGCAGGTTGTAATAGAGGCTTCGGGACGTAATTCCGATCGCAACCAAGATCCGAATTCGAACTCCTCTGCTCCCGATGCGACAGCTGAGCATCATCCCGTGCTGACCATCGTGGTGTCGAAGCCAGAGGAAGCGACGAATGCGAAAGGGGACGGATCGAAGGGAACTTCTCCCGAAAGGCAGGATAAGGTCAGCGTGATCGCCTCAGCTAAGAAGGGGTTTTTGCCCAGGAGCGACAGCGACTGTGAGGAGTGCAGGTAAAAGGTTTGGCTTTAGTTGGTTAAAATGGAATCTCGAGTTTTTGATTATATGAGTTTCTCGGTTGACTTTTACTGTAATTGGATGCGGAACAAATGTTATTTGGCTACTTGGATCAAGCTGTTCGTATTTCAGGCTGATATGCATAGTTTCTTCTTGACATTTTCCTCCCAGCTTTATTTCTATTTTCTGGGGACTAGTGTTTACAGTTATCAGGCATATTGCTTATGCTTTTTATCAATTTTGTTGGAGAAGACCTTAGAGATTATTGCTCATGTTTGTATATGAGTAATGCTTGCCATGTTAAATGATGCAAAACCTGAACTTTCATTGATTTCTGAAGTTGTTTCTAGTATGAAATGTTTTTCATATACATCAACTTTTGTTACTAGAGCGCACGCGCTCCCTGTATTATTCCATGTATATGAATGAAAAAGTGGAAACATGTGTTTGGTTCTTAAAGAAATATTTTTGGCAAAAAATTGTTTTTTTGGGCCTTTTTTTGTATTAAAATTTTTTTACCTTCATGAACCTACACAAACATGTATAAGTACTGATTATTGACAAGAAGAAACATACATGCAAATGAATGTAAATTTTGCGTTATTTACTAATAGATTAGTAGGACGGTCCAACTCATATTCTGGAGTGCGAAAATAGAAAATAATGGAAGAATCTTTGTTTCTATTCTCATATATGATTTCTGCTATAACATATTGTTACATTTTTTACTTTAGGGCACATGTTATATTGTTTATTTTGTTGATGAATAAGAATATAACCAAATATTTAATGTTTCAATATGGAAAGCACATGAACTCAAACTTTTGAGAGGATCTTCTCAGGGTCAATAATTAATGCTAAAAGATCTACAATGCAAATTAAACAAAAAAGAAAACAAGATATCTATTATTTAAAATGCTTTTATGTTGTAGTGTACTTGACTTCTGGGCTCATGGATCGACCCTTGTTATGGGTGCAAATCTTTGTTTTATCTCATTGTCAACTTTGTATTTCTTTCAAAAGTTTATGAATTAGGAAGAAAATTAAAGTTAATTGCATTTGTGGAAATATGCTAACAATATCTCCCTCTTACTAATCAATCTCATAAGTTTATCTGTTAGATTAATAAAATTGACTGCTAAGCAAGGAATTATATGGAAATGTCAAAAAAATACCATATCAAGCGGCACTTCAACACCCAAATATATATTTGAACAAATTTCATAATGGAGGTAACACTTTTATTTTACATCTTCCGCAAATCAAGCACCATGCAATGTTTAATCATGCTATGTGCATATTGGGTATGTCGAGCTTGGCTTAGCATAATTGAGAATATGTTTGTCTTATTATTCATTTTAAATAAGAAATTGTGCTATTGAAAGAAAATCAAAATTTACTGCATTCTCCTTCAGCATAGTCAACAATATTACCCTAAGATGGGATAAACTTGAGAGATTTTGATGCATGACATTTTAGATTTATGATTTTCTAACGCAAACTTAACATTTCATGCACAAAGTCACACATACAAAACAAAATTTATAGTTCAAAAACTCTTAAGTAAAAATTCATCGTTTTAGATGAAAAATCGTAAAACATGCAAACTTTGCCCCAAAAGATAATTTAATGATTGCCCATATAGATATTTAATAAAGAAATTCTGGATCAATGAAAATTACATGTTAATTAGGCTTAAGTTGCGATAAAAATTTGGATTATACTTTCTTTGAATAGGTTCAATGCAAAGATACTCTGAAAATTAAAGCATAGAAAAGAAATACAACAAGTAAAGAAATTGCCAAAGAATATAAGGAGATGATTTTCTTCTGAAATTTGATTGATACTAGCATCTTGCTTGAAGGACTTGAATCTAACTAGTAATTATTCCTTGCAGGCTGTATAGATTTAGTGTTTATAATCATCAAAGTCACCTAAGTGAAAGCTTATCCAAAAATGGTATTGTAAAACGGCCGCCACTTTTATGTAAAACCAATAACAATACACAAAATCATATATTTAAGGCACAAAAAATACGATAGAACTAGAATAATCGTGCCAAAAATTGACACGAAAACGGCAAAGTGAGCATCATAGAATCACGTAAGGACCGAATATAGAGGAAATATAAGATCACTTATGGAACTGAATTAACAATCCTGAACGAATGCCATCTACAGAAACTGTCAACAATGACTTTGAAAAACTAGATTCCAACCAACCAACAAATCAAATCACATGGGATTAAAAGAAAAACCAGAAAACTATATTGAACCAAAGCTGACTAGGGATTGGAACATAAGAGGTCACATTCCACACTCATAGGCATGATTAGACAAATAAACTAAAGTAGAAAGAAAAAAAGCACAGAAAAGAAAACTGAAGTAACCAATAAATATTGCTCAGATCATAAATTTTTTCACCAGAACGCATCTAGTTATGTTCTGGAAGATCATAAATTTAGAGAGTTTCATCACGCGTCCCTTAGTTGCATATTTTATTTTAATTCATGGGAATTTTACCTTCTTCATAATATAGAGGTGTATTTTATTTGTTTGGGCTTTTAATGGACAACGACGTCACAAGGGAAAAAGGAAAATGGTGAATTGTACTACTTTAATATATATATATATATATATATATATATATATACAGGATCAAAATGTCAAAGGCATCCTTGTATGGACAACTATAAAAGTTGAAATTATAAATATATATAGGCCGCGGGGGGGGGGGGGGGG